CCCCGCTGCTGTCCTGGCTCCAAGCAGAAGCCATGGTGTAGAAACCCTCCGTGCTGGTGCTGCTCTCCGTCCACCACCAGTGCTGATGCTGAGAGGGACCATGCAGTTTTGGGTATTGTGATTGATTTGGGAGGCTTTTTGTGAGGTGTTGGTGCTGTTCAGGAGAGATAAGATGTGGTCTGAGGCAGAGGAGTCAGAACCCTCCTGCCCCATTAGGCTCTTGACACTGGGGGATATGAAGAAGGAAAAAAGGCTTAGCGCAGCCTCTCTTATGTAGTATCTCATAAAATCTTAAACAAATCCTATGCTCCAGTTCAGGGGAGCCAGAAAGTCCTATTTGGAGTATTTTTTTAAAGTATTTTCTTCTTTCTGGTCGTTTTGGTAGTGCACTTGGGAAATGGCTGCAGGTACCACTGCAGAGGCCATTTGTGCTGGTGTTGGTGAGCAGTGCCTGGCACCGGGACCGGCCTGGAGCTGGGAGCCTCTCACATTCCTCCATAGCAGTGGAGCTGTGCTGTGTTGCTTTCGCGTGCCCCCAGAGCCTGGAGGTTTGGAGAGGGCTTCCACGTGGTGCAAGGTTTGTTTGGGCAGATTGCAAAGCGCCCAAACCCCTGAAAGGTGATGTGTGAGTTGCTGAGGACAGAGATGGCCTCTGCTTTGAATGCAGATGGAATTAAGAGCGTGTAAGAGCTCAGCTCTGGCCCAGCAGGGTGGTGCCAAGCTGGGGAAAGGCCTAATCCAGCTCAGCTGAGCACCTTTCCCACTCAAAGTGATGGTCTGGTGCAAGAGAAGGAGGGGGTTTTGTTTGGTTTGTCAACAGTTGCTGCCCAAAGAAGGCTCCTGGTCTGAGGAGGTTAAAGCTGGGCCTTCCAGCTGAACCCTGGAGCATCTTGTCCTGATGGGCTGCCTTCCTCCTCTCTGCCTAGGATAGTCAAGCCTAAAGTGGCCTCCATGGAGGAGATGGCGAGCTTCCACACAGATGCCTACCTGCAGCACCTGCAGAAGGTCAGTGAGGAGGGGGACGATGACCATCCAGAGTCCGTGGAGTATGGACTGGGTGAGGACGCGTATCTTCGGCAAGGGGTTAACTGGGTATTGGGTCCAGGGTGCTTTTTGCTGCAGCAGAGGTCAGACAGAGGCCTGAGCTCGTGGGCTGCTGGGCTGTTTACTGGGGAACGCTCTTTGGGTGGGTGTGACTGAACCCTGCCAGCCGGCGGTCGCCTGTCGGGAGGATCTCATGGTCACAGCCCCCGTCGGGCGCCCCCTGCTCTGGCGTGGGGTCCTCCATGGGTGCAGGGGCAACCTCTGCTCCCCCGTGGACCTCCATGGCTGCAGGGCACTGCCTGCCTCACCACGGGCTGCAGAGGAATCCCTGCTGTGGCGCCTGGAGCACCTCCTCCCTCCTTTGCTGCCCTCGGTGTCGCAGTCATTCCTCTCCCACATTCTCATTTCTCTCTCCAGTGGCTGTGCACCATTTTTTCCCTTTCCTCAGGACGTTGTCACCGAGGGCTGTGACATTGCTGAGGGGCTCAGCCTTGCCCAGTCTCGGGTCTGTCCTGGAGCCATCTCTGCCCGACGTGGGTGCAGTTCCTGGTGTCTTCTTGCAGAAGCCATCCCTGCACCTACTCTCCCATGACAAAAAGCTTTGCCACACAAACCAAATACAATATTTTTCCTACTTACGCCCCCTAAATCTGCTGTGCAAGTCCAATACCTGTGTGAGGGCTCTGTGCTGTGGCTGTTTCGTTGTGCCTGGAACAGAAAGTCAGAACAGCGGTTGCAGAGAGAGGGCTCAAACCAAAGCGGAGGTGCTTCCCTCGCAGGAAAAGCCTTGTTGTGTCCGACACGCAGACTCTTACCTGCAGGTTACGACTGTCCAGCTACTGAGGGGATCTTTGAGTATGCGGCAGCCGTGGGAGGAGCCACCATCACCGCAGCCCAGTGCCTGCTGGATGGCAAGTGCAAGGTAGCGATTAACTGGCCTGGAGGGTGGCATCATGCAAAGAAGTAAGAAAACAATCTCTTCCCTTGTGCTTTCTCACCTGGTGTCTGAACCCTGCCTTCTCGCTCCCTGCTTCCCTGCGAGCCCTCAGGGTGCGGTGATGTGGCTGGAAGAGCAAGGAGATGGGGATGCAAGGCGTGAGGGGAGGCAGGGGGTCACTGGACCTGGCCCTGACCCCATCCTGGGCTGCGGTGCAGAGCTGGGCAGGGGCATTCAGAGCTGTCTCGCTGCCCATGGGGACATGGCTGTCTCTCAGAGTCCAAGTGAGAGCTGATTTCACAGAGTCCGTAGAGAAGGGCTGTGCAGAGGCAAAGGGTCAGTGTTGCTTCAGCTTGGAAGAGAATGGGAACGTGGCAGCATGTGGTCCAGGCTGGTTTGTGTGGCTTTTTTGGTTCCTTAATAAGATCTGAGACAGTGCAGGGCTGACCTCTGGTTCTCCCCATGCTCTCTGAGTAGCCGTTCGCTCTGGTTGCGGTGTCAATGCGATCATCCAGAACAAAAAGTAAAAAATTTATCCCTGAATCCTGTGATTCTGTAGCGGTAAAAGAATTTGTTTCTATGGCTTCCCTGTTTCCTGTGGATGAATACTTTATTTGATGTTTTATTAGTATGTTTTATTTTAAGTTGTGTCCCCCATCTGCCAAAACATGAGGGCTGCCTGTAAATGCAGATGAGACAGGGTCCTCCCTTGTCCCCAGCTAACCAGCCCTTGCAGTGCTGCTCAGTTTCCCTGGGAAGCCCCCAAAATTAGCGTGAGCCATGTGTCTGACCCCAGTGACTTGTGCGTGAGTGTGCAGGTTGCTCCAGTGACTTTTCTGATTCGGCAGAGAAGCCCTGGATCTGTAACGGTGCTGTGCAAACCCCGTCCATGGCAGTGTCCCATCAGGACCCTTTTTCTGGTCAGCACTTTGCTGAACGTGGGTTCAGCCAGGGCTTGCTAAGAAAGGAGGGAGTTCAGCTTGGCCAGGCTGAGCCCTGTTGCTCCTCACAGGAGGGACAGCTCTTTAAAAAACTGCTGTGCTTTTTTGTCTCGATTGCATGGTTCATAAAATCCTGGCAACAAAAGAAATCTTAGCAGTGTTGCTGCCACAGAGCTGTGCTATTGGCAGCGTTCTGGGAAACAAACACTGTTTAAAAAAGGCATTTAGTACTCAATGATCCCAAAGGAGCCTCCCCAGTCACCCCAGTGGTGTCATGGGATGCTGCAGGATGGGCAGCAGCGGTGGTGCCAGTCCAGCATCAGGGTCCAGCCAGGCTGACACTGAATCGCAGGTGCCTGGGGCCAGGACCTGTGTCCTGGCAAAACACACATCACTTATCAAAAACCTCCTGCTGTCTGGTGGCTCAGTCGCTCTGCAAGGTTCCAAAGGCGGGAGTGGCAACCACTGTCAGCTGGGGCTGCTGGAGGCCCTGTTCGCTGGTGGGCAGAGGGTGAGACTGAGCCGGTGCCTTTTCTGGAGCCAGCACTGCGCTCCCTCCAGGCAGCGACCATCCCAGCTCTGCTATGCGGGTCTTTGCGGGGAGGATCCTAGGTGCTGGTCCTGAGCTGCAGCTCCAACCCTGGTCCCTCTGCATGCTGGCGTCCTGCTCTGCTTGACCTTGAGTTTGATGGAGGTCGTGAGTTTGATGGAGGGTGCCCAGGACGCGGCGTGGTTCACTTTGGTTGTGGGCTGGGAAGGAGGGGAGGAGCACAGCACCTAATCACGGTTCAGGAGGATTCCCAGCACACCAGATACCATCCCAGTTCTCAGCATCGCTGTAAATGCACAGGGTCACTGGGAAGTGTCTGTGCTCCAGGTCTGCAGGGAGTGAGAGCAAGTGCGGTTCTGCTGCCCCACGCTCGCTCCTCGCCATCCCCAGCTGTTTGCGGGGCAGGGGACTGCTGGGGAGAAGGGGACTGCTGTGGCAGAAGGTCAGTAAGTGTTTTCAAGAGGCACGTCTTAGATCCTGGGGTCATTTGAGCCTGCGGAAGTGGGGATTGGACACTCCTGTCGCAAACTATAAAGCTTTGTTTTAAATCAGCTATTCAGGGCTGACCTAGGAGTGCATATGGGCTAGGTGGTGACGGGGGCTTCGAGGAGAGTCTGGAGTAGGGATTAGGAAACTTTGTTGTCCCTTTAATGCCACCAATATGGAAGCTGCCCTGTGATGCATGTCAGGAATAAATCTTTCCATGCAATGCCTGTCCTCTGCCCAGCCACCAGGGCGCTCTCCTGGTTGAGCCCAGCAGCTGCATTGTGTGGGACTGCACGTGGGGCATCCTCTTTGCATTTTCCTGGGGAGGAAGGGATAATGTTGCTTTGCAGAGAGGCTTAACCTCCATACTCTGAGGCTTCAGAACAGAGCAGCAGAGAGCTGCGACTGCTTTGGGCTTGCCTTCACTGCCAGGACCTTCCCAGCAGCTGTGAGCCATGGCTGTGCCTGTCCGGCATGCACACGAAAATGGCCAAGAGGGAGGTGCAGTGGAGAGTGGCTTTGAGTTGAGTGGCTCCGAGCTTCTTTAAAACACCTCAGGTGCGGAAGGCGAATGTTTTGTTGGTGCAGCAGTGGAATGGTCGGTGTGCCCTGCCCGGCCCCCCTGGGTCGCAGCCTCTGACCAGGGCTGTCAGCTGCCGGCAGCCCCGGGGATGGGCAGTGATGGGCACAAGCAGTCGTGTTTGCTCTGCTTCCAGCCACGCTTTGAGTTGCTCCTGATCCAGCCCTTGGTCACTGCTGGGCCTCAGCCGGGCTCTTCATCCTCCTCTGTGCCCTGCGAGGTGGAGGCTTGTGAAGTGAAAGAGACCTCACTGGGATCAGTGACATTTGCATTGGTGATGTGCAACCTCATGGACATTGTTTTCGCAGAGATGAAGCTTCTGGCTTCTGTTACCTGAACGACGCTGTCTTGGGAATCCTGCGGCTGCGCCAGAAGTTTGACCGTGTACTGTACATCGATTTGGATTTGCATCATGGAGACGGTAAGGCCCAGCGCAGGCTGCAAACAGCACAGCTCCGGGGAGGAGTGGGAAGAGTGAGGGCTTCCCCTGCTGCAGCAGCCATGGCCTTGCTTCCCTCCAGTGCAGTCAAGTCCCTTTAACCCATCTTTGCCTTGCTCTGCTTTATGGATTTGCCCTGTGCTGATTTTTGCCCTGTGATGCCTCTTGGGGGTCTGGGCCACAGTCTTGTACCTGATGCAACAAAGAGCGCGATCCCTTTCCCGTAATCCCCTCTGCCGGGGGCTCTGACCCGAGCACCTTCCACGCCCTGGTGTCCATCCCAGCAGAGCAGCTGCTGGCAGCGTTTAAGTGCTCAGCGCCACAGTGTGAGAGGGAAGTGGTCAGTAGTAAACAGAGCCTTTAAAATAAGACTTGATGCTATAAAACCAAAGCCAGAGCTGGCCTTGCTGAAACTGCGCTCTTGCTCAGGGACATTATTTCAGCACCATTTAACATTTCCCGCTCTCCTGAATTTTACAGTGTGTTTCATTTTGCTCCGTTTTCTCCTTACATTTGGTTTCTGTTAAGTTTCCTGTTACTTCTTTTTCCCTTCCCCACCCCCACTCTTTTAACATGTCTTTAAGGAAAAGAAAAGGCATGTTGAACCGCAGCAGCGCTGAGAAAAAGCGAGCGCCCGGTAGCTCTGTCTCTATCAGAGCTGAGCTCTGGCCAAGGCCTCGCGTCTCAGTGCCCTCCCCGCAGGCCAGGCAGTGCAGGCGGATGCTGCTGTCCTGGGCCTGACCCAGGGTTGGGATCCGTTCAGTACCACAGAGCGCCAGATCTGCCAAGTTCATTTTGGTTGTGACCTTTGCTGCAGTTGAATTCAGGTCTCCATTGAGTAAGGATGAGCCACATCTGGTTTTCTGCTTCTCTGGTTGCTGCCCTGTGTTTATTGAGTGGCTCATTTGTGTGTTTAGACTCTCATTTATTTGACTGATGTGTGAAAGGTGTTTCTCTTCCCTTGTCTGACAGGAGTTGAAGATGCCTTTAGTTTCACCTCGAAAGTCATGACTGTTTCCCTGCACAAGTTTTCGCCAGGATTCTTCCCAGGCAAGTTGAACTCGAGAGGTTTGTGCTGACTTGGTTCAGGTGTTGCTGACGAGACCCCAGCAAGGCGAGTCCCCCCCTGTCGGCTGCAGAGGGGTCTCGCTGCTGCTGACCCAGGAGAAGGAAAGAGAGGGGCTGCGTGTGCGGCGTCTCCCTGTTTCTGGCTGTTCTGAAGCTCTGGGCAGTGCCACTGCTGGGCGGCCACCAGCCCTGGAAGGCTGCACGGCAGAACGGGGCAGAGGGGAGAGCCGGGCCCAGCCAGCCCCTCCGTTACCGGTAGAGGCAAGTGGACATCTCCATGAGTGCATCCTGGCTCTCTGCTCTCATCTGGGACATCCAACATGTTTCTCCTGCTGCTGATCCTCTTTTCCTCGTCATTAACCACGTCTCTTTCTGGTTTTCAGGCACTGGTGATGTGACCGATGTTGGCCTGGGGAAAGGGCGCTATTACAGCGTGAATGTACCTATTCAGGATGGCATTCAGGATGAGAAGTATTACCAGATCTGTGAAACGTAAGCCCCCTTGCTCTGATACGGTTTACTTGGATGGGATTTTGGAGTACAGAGACTGCACAGATTTTATTTACTGTTTTTAATTACAGGCCTTTGTTAAGGCTTGCACCTTTCCCTGTTACAGTTTTTGATTACAGTGAACACGGATCTTAAGAGGTCTCAAAGCCTTGTCCGAATCCTTAGGCAAACTGAAAATACAGAGGCATTTGTGGGTGGCTGGAGGGTCTCTCAGCCTTGTGTGTTTAAGGAGAGACTGAGAAGAGACGAGCGCTTTTTGGGTGTGGACACCTGCAGAAGACTGTGGGTCCGCTTCAGGAAGAAGGGTTATGCCTGTCTGCTCTTTCCTTGCACTGTGACTGTCGCTGTCCGCCCAGTTTGCGTGGCCCAGTCGCTGTCAGAGCGTGCGTGGTGCGAGTCGCTGCCGGGCCCCGGGTGCTGGGACCGGACTCTGGAAACGCTGAGGCTGTGCTGCTGTACCCGGGGTCACTGTGCACAAGGAGCCCTGCTTTCCCTCGACCTCACATGTTTGTTCTTGGTGAGGGGTTGTGACTTCTTCCCCAGAGTTTTTCACGTCCTCTGTCAAGTTTTTCCCAGCAGTGCCCATATTTCAGCAGGGAGTTTGTGCTGGTTGTGGGGCTGATGGCCTCACCCTGCAGGCATCAGCCTCGGCAAACCGCACTGAGCTCAGGGCTCCTTGTGTGGGTGCAGCAGTGGATGAGTTTCTCTGGGTGAGGGCTGGGAAATGCAGGCTTTGTCACAGGGAAGCAGCTCACTCGTTTGGCACTGCTGCAGTTTCTCATTGCATATCAAATAAGAACTGGCGATGTTTAGGTTCTCTTAACCGAGGGAAAAGCATTTATTCCAGGGATCACATCTGTTTCTACTTTAGCAAAATAAAAGCACTATTGTGAAAGGAACATGTTTTCCTCCGTCACTGCCCTTGTGTTTTGGGCTTTGGAGCACAGTGCTGGGACAGGATTACTCCCTTTGTGGTGTTCATAATACTGAAAATCTGGGGCAAAGCCCAGTGTCCGACATGCCCTGTTGTTCTCTGCAAGAGGGAATACTTCTGATAAGGCACCAGGACACTGGCCCTGCTGCTCCCCAGCGTCAGCTAGAGCCGGGGAAATGCATTTCTGCCTCACGAGCCGTATGGGAGAGGAGAGTGAGGACCTGGACAGACCGCTGCTCTGTTCGTGCTGTCCTGGTGAGAGGTGTCCTTTAGGGTTGTTGTTTGGTCAGACCTTGCTATTCACTGCGACTTTTACAGGGGAGAGAAGCCCCTGGATTTGGCTTGCAGCCCTTAGGCTCAGGGCGGCCAATGTGGATGTGGTTTGATGCTGATCGGGACTAGATCCCCCTCCCCGTTGTTCTCAGTGGTGCTTTTGCCTTCATCAGCCTTGTGATGAGCGCTTTGAGAGCTAAACTTACTGCAGGAGAGCAGCGGAAGCAGAAGCCAGCTGGGAGCAGAGGGAGCGTAACTGGTGCGAAGCGGGTGGGAGCAGAGGGCACAGAAGCCGTGCGAGACGTTGGTGGATGTGGGGGACCAGGGCCGTGCCATCAGCACCCTCTGAGCCACACTGCAGTGACCTGCGCCGCTCCCTCCACAGCGTGCTGAAGGAGGTGTACGCCGCCTTCAACCCCGACGCCGTGGTGCTGCAGCTGGGGGCGGACATCATCGCCGGAGATCCCATGTGCTCCTTCAACATGACCCCCGAGGGCGTGGGCCGATGCCTGCAGTACGTCCTGCAATGGCAGCTCGCAACGCTGGTCCTGGGAGGAGGTGAGTGAGTGCGTGCACGATGAGCGGATTTGTCCTCCTGCATCCCGTGCAGCCCTAGGCAGCGTCGGGAGGGCGCTCCGTGGCACACGGACCCAAAATCCTTGGTACTGACTGATGTGAGCCTCAATCCTGACCCCAAGATTTTGCAGTAAAGGCTGCTTGGCCTGAGAGTGTCAGGAGGAAGGAGCCAGGCTCTGCTCTGGGATGTCCAATGGCAGGACAAGGGGCAATGGTCCCAAGCTGGAGCACAGGAGGTTCAAGCTGAAGATGAGGAGAAACTTTGTGAGTGTGAGGGTTATGGAGCATGGCCCAGGCTGCCCAGAGAGGTTGTGGAGTCTCCTTGTCTGGAGACACCCAAAGCCCTGGCCGTGTTCCTGTGTGACTGCTCTGGTGATCCTGCTCTGGCAGGGGTTGCACTGGATCAGCTTTGCAGGTCCCTTCCAACTCCTCACATTCTGGTATTCTGGGTTTGGCTCCTCCGGAGAAGGGCAGAGGCTGTTAACCCTGGTGTGCTGACCCTGGCTTCTCAATGGCACTTCTGATTCCCCTCTCTGTTGATCAGCCCTTCAGTGCTTCTCTTTAAAAGTGAGCACTGTGTTCCCAAACCTACCTCGAGCATCTGGCAATGAATGGTTTCGTTCGGATTAACGCAGCAGCTTGGGAAAAGGAGTGGCTGATGCTGGGTGCAGCAGGGCTCTGATAGCCAGCAAAAGCCAAGGTTGACTCAGCTCTGCCGTGCTGCACAACCAGTGGGGAGAGCACTGCACAGGCTTTCTGCAGCAGCGTTTCAGAACAGCAAGAGCTACTGAGTGCCAGGGAGAGCCCCCAACTCTGTGCCTGGAGCCGTATTGGCTCTGGCCATTGTCCTTTTTGAGATGGGGAGATCGGGTATAGCATGTTAGGCCTAAAATTTGATGTGCCTAATGAAGTTTGTTTTGAAGGATTGTGAGTGTTCAATCCTGCTGTGCGTGTGTGTGGGTATTCTGGAGATGGCACCTTTCAGGCAAAAAGAAACCCCAAAACTTTTGTCAAAAATGAAGGACAGCTCTTTGTTGCTCATGCAAATACCAAAGAAGTGTCCCAGCGCTGCAGCTCATGGAGGGGTCTGAAGTGGAAACTGGGGGAGGAGTCAATACTTGCAAAAAAACCCCCACAAACCAAAACAAAAAACCACTGACCCAAAGAGAAGGGAAGGTTGAAAACCACGGTTTCCCTCTCTTTCCAAAGTTATTTTCTCTCTTACTGTTTTGGTCACCTCTGCTGGAAAAAAGACTTCTGAGGCCCTTGCAGGATTTGCCTTCAGCTGAGGTTTCTCCTTGTGGTCCCAGGTACTGTTACAATGGGGCTGACCATTGCCATACTGACTGTGAAACCTCATTTATTGTAAAGCAAATTATACTGAAGAGCTCCATCTGAGTCCTCTCAAACGTGGCAGTGCTGGAGCACTCACCAGCGAATGGCTGCGCATGTGTGGTTCGCCGTGAGGGTCGAAGGCCGGAGTTAAAACGCGGGAGTCGCCCGTGTCTGCACTGCCCCTGCCCTTCTCCCCATGACCTGGGCACCCATTGTGGTCCCAGGGTGACACCAGCGCCGGGTGCTGCCAGGAGGGAGCCCAGCGCACGGGGCCGGGGTCGTGCGGGATCTCGGGAGGAGCCCGACCTCTGACTGGGTTCAGTTTGGGAGCTCTGCCCTTGCACACAGCATCATTCGGACCTGGTCTCGTGTAACAGGTGCAAAAATGCAGGTTTTGGGCGCAGCTTGAGTGGATGAAATAAGCTGAATTCATGTAAATCGCGTGTGTTGCCTCCGCAATTTGTTCCTTCCACTAAATCTCTCCCTCTCTCTTCCCTTTCCCCACTCTTCACCCTCCAAAATGACAACTGTTGCCGGAGACAGGAGGCTACAACCTTGCTAACACAGCTCGCTGCTGGACGTATTTGACTGGCGTCATCCTTGGGAGAACGCTGTCCTCCGAGATCCCGGATCACGAGGTAAAGCTTTGACAAACCCTCCCTTCTCCTTGCGCAGGAGACGAGTTGTTCTCCCTGACCCAGGCGCATCCTCGCCGCTCAATGCTGCATTGTTGGGACACCCCTGCCACAATAGCGCCCTGTCCTAGCAGCACAGTGGGTGCTTGTTCCCAAAACCTGAGGCTGTCCACGCCTTTTTGCAAGAGGTCTCAGGTGCCAATAAACCCTGGTCTCAGATAATTACAGAGGGGATGGGGAGGGGGAGTCACCTGTTTGCTCAAAGAGCTCTTTAGGACGTGCACGTACTTTTGCCAGGGAAGAGCCATGCCTTTCCCAAGGCTTTGGGTTTTCTCAGCTTTTGTTGACTTACGGAAAGCACCCAGCGCGGCTGAACTGTTCCTGACCTCGCAGTGTGCCCTGGGGCCAGGCCCTGTTCATCATCGCCTCTGGGCTGTCGCAGTGCAGACCCGAGCGGGGCCGGAGGGACACGCTCCAGACTGAATTCGGGTGGAATAGCTGTAGGGTCGTAGTAGGTCTCAAACCACAGGTTGGTGTTACTGACTCTACAGAAACAAACCTGCGCCTGCAAAGCGGCTCACGCCGACTGTGAGGATTTTGGGTTTGCCTTTGTCTAAGGATCCCACGGACCAATGTGCCTGAGGAAGTAAAGTGTTTGTGTGGCTTGAAACTGGACATTTATCGTTATAAAAACTGGTGATTAGGGATACAAGATGCTTTTGGAAAGGGGTCACGCTTAAATATGATCCTTTTGCCGAGTTTCTGCAGAAACGGGTTTTAAACAAGACTGGGTCTTTTCTATACAAGGGAAGTGAAAAGGGTAGAATTTAATTAATTAATTAAAGGTGATTAATTCCTCTGTAGGATTTAACTGCTGGGGGTGGCTTGGTTTTGCCTGTTTGTTGTTGCTCTGAACAGTTCATTTGTTGTGGCACCGAGTGCCCTGATGGATAAGGGCTGGAGATTCCAGCAGCTCCTCTTGCAGTGTGAAAATTTGTCTCTTCCCATCCTTTCTTCTTTGGTAAAGCCTTTCTGGCTGACTTTCAGTCTCATCAGAAACTCTGTTTTTGGGTTTGTAGCTTACATCTTTTTCATACTTTGAAATAAAACGGGAAGCACTGCAGATGTGCAGCAAACCTGGGCGTGGTTTCTCCAGCTGATTTGCACTTGGCAGTGGTTTGGGTCGGTGCCTGAATGTCTCTTGGAAGAGAATAAAGCTGGGCTTGGGGTTACTGTTACGCTGTCTCTGAGGTAGAGGGAGATGCAGCAATTTTTGGTTACTTGGTCCCGTGTTTGGCTGGGGGTGTTGGACAGAATGGCTCTGTGCTAAGGTTGCAGCAGCAATAAACACCTTCTCTAACGTGTTGTCACGCTGGCTTGGAAAGGAGAAACGTTATTTTCCAAGAGCAGCGAGCTCTGCTGAAGCTCAGCTACAAAATCTCCTCTTGATCCAGTCTGGACTCGGATACTTAAGTAGATGCAGGTTCCTTGTAACACAGTGGCAGTGCAGTGGGCAGGAGGGAGGGGTCTCGCTGCAGAGGTCTCGCTGCAGGGGTCTGCAGTGCAGCTGACAACCCTCTTGCTGTTTGTGCTGTTTTCCACCAGAGCAGAAGCACAGCAGGTCCCAGCAGTTGTAGGTTTGTCTTTGCTGCAGCTAACGTGTCCTTTTGATTTGGATGCTGTCCCCAGGCTGCCATCCCCCACACAGAGCAGACTCCCCGATCCCGCTGCTGTGGGCTCAGCTGAGGCTGCAGCCTGATGACTGCTGTACTCCAACCAATAGCTCTTGCTGGTGTCCATGGTCCTCCAAGGCCTTGTCACCCATGGAGGAAGAGCAGTCAGCTGCGTCTGTTTGCTCACCAGTGGGAAGTCCATAGCTGAGGCTGATAAACCAGTGAAGCTGTGAGAAGGCTGGACTTTGTGCAGGATGTGACAGGGCCTGGGATTGGGACAGACCAGCTGGGAAGTGCTGGTTTTTGCTTATTTGCAGAGGTCCTGTGAGGGCTGGGCTGTGTCTTCTTCCCAGCTCTTGTCTTGGCAAGTCCAGCCTCCACCTCTGTTATGTCCCAGCCTTTGTGTGTGTTAATCTGTGCCTGCTGAATCTGTTCCCCTTGACAGATGAGAACGACGGAGGTTGGGTTTGGGGCTGTCAGCTCCAAGATGCCATGGGAGTGCTTGTGCTTGGTGGGTGTCTGTGTGGATAAGGCAAACTCCATCAAGCAATGCAGTGCCCGGGCTGCGGGTGTCCTCCCCTGGAGATCCGTGTCTGTGCACTGTGCCTGGGGCCCTCCTCCTGCCCACCTGTGGGGATGGCTGCGTGTCCTCAGCTGTCCCGTGTCGGTTTGGGGGACAGACGGGATGACCGAGAGCCAGCAATGTGCCCTTGAGCCAAGAAGGCCAACGCCATCCTGGGGTGGATGAGAAGGGGTGGTTGGAGGGCAGAGAGGTTCTCCTGCCCCTCTGCTCTGCCCTGCTCACCACACGGCTGCAATCTTGTGTCCAGTTCTGGCCCCTGAGTTCAAGAAGGACAGGAACTGCTTGAAAGAGTCCAGCAGGGCCACAAAGATGATGGAGGGAGTGGAGCATCTTCTGCTGAGGAGCAGCTGAGGGAGCTGGGGCTCTTGAGCTTGGAGCAAAGGAGACTGAGGGGTGCCCTCATTCATGGGGATCCATTTGGAAAGGGCCAGTGTCAGGAGGAAGGAGCCAGGCTCTGCTCTGGGATGTCCAATGGCAGGACAAGGGGCAATGGTCCCAAGCTGGAGCACAGGAGGTTCAAGCTGAAGATGAGGAGAAACTTTGTGAGTGTGAGGGTTATGGAGCATGGCCCAGGCTGCCCAGAGAGGTTGTGGAGTCTCCTTGTCTGCAGACACCCAAAGCCCTGGCCGTGTTCCTGTGTGACTGCTCTGGTGATCCTGCTCTGGCAGGGGTTGCACTGGATCAGCTTTGCAGGTCCCTTCCAACTCCTCACATTCTGGTATTCTGGGATCTCATTCTCACAGCATTGAAAGTGTTGATCCCAGCCTTGACTTGCTAAAAAGGACAGAGTCTTCCAATTTTTAAGGCAGCTGACTGGGTCTGCAGTGCTCAGTCACTGGAAAATGAGCCAGTGCCACTGTCAAAATCTGCGTTTTACTGCCCATTCCACAGTGGAATGTTGTGTTGGCCCACAAAAAAGCCTGGCCAGCAGCAGGGCGGGCAGCACTGTGCTGTGCTTGCAGAGCAGGCAGTTCTTTAGCACAGTGATTCGTGGTAAACACGGCGTGACTTCGGGTTTGCTTTCAGTGCTGAAGGGCAGCCTGCAGCATTCAGGAGCCACTTCATTTTCCTCTTCAGTGCTGGCGTGGTGAGGTCTGCTTGGAGAAGCCTTTGCTGTCCCTGCCAGTGCAGAGATGTTGGCCTTGGGTGTCCAGATCTGCCACCTCCAATCTCACCCTTAAAGAAATCCCCAGCCCTGTGCATCGTTAGTCACTTGGGAGACAACAACGCTGTGAATTTCCCTGTCTTTGGTGTGATAGCTTTAGGTCTGGACCAACCCTCCATGGGGTGAAGCTCTCCAGGGGTTGTGACACGACCGAGTGTCACTTCACCACTGAATTTTTAACCCTGGTGTGTCTACATCTTTGCTCAGTGCTGTGTGATCGTGAAACAAAACCGCTGTCAATAATTTGTGATTCTGCATTATCATGTAGAGCCCATGTGCTGCAGGGTTGCTCATCCAGGCTCAGCTGCACGCTGCTGAAGTGCTCAGCCAGGAAAGACCTGTTAAGAACATTGAAGCACGCTGGCTTTTCTCCTGCCCGTTGTGTCCTCACGACAATGCAGTACTCTGCAAGGTGGGGCAGGGAGCTGAAAGGAAGGATATCTGATAGGCAGCACTTGAATTTGGTTTATTAAAAAAATCAGGTTTGCAGGTAACCATGTGTAAAATGGGCATCAACAGCTTTCCCAAATAAAGCATTGGGATAGACATGAGACTGCTGTTGTATGCACCACTGAGCTCTGCTTCCCAAGCCCATGAACTGGCAGCAGTTGCAAAGCTGGGGCAGGCACGGACGCTGCAGAAGCGCCTCTTTGGCGTAGTTAAGCTGCTCAGATGGAGTTGGTGCTTTGCCCTTTCACAAACAGGTACCCATGGGGAGCACCCTTGGCCCAGCCGGAGCCCTCTGCTGACTCTGCTCTCTGCTTTCCTGCAGTTCTTCACAGAGTACGGTCCCGATTATGTGCTGGAGATCACACCGAGCTGCAGACCAGACCGCAACGAGCCACAGAGAGTTCAAGAAATTCTTAACGCTATCAAAGGTGAGTTGTCCAAGCCAGCGCTACGCTACGTACAGGTCTTTTTAGAGTGGACTTCAGGGAAGCTTGCTGGAGTCTTTCCCGCTGACTGGAAAGATGAACCACATCCCCTTGACTGCTCATTGCGTACCACGTCGTCTGTCTCCTGTTTCGCTCGGGGTTCTCAGTGTTCATAGCACAACACCTCAGAGCTGTGGGTCGCTCTTAGCAAAAGCTGCCATTGCCTTTTCTCTGGCTGGGCAGAGAAGCACAGGGCCTCATCCTCACTGGAGCCACAGGACAGCCCACGTTGCTTGAGGGTCGCCTGGTCCAACCTTTCAAGGGAAAGGCAGCCTAGATGAGGTTGTCTAGCACTCTGTCCAATCGCACCTTGAAAACGTCTTGTAATGGGGACTCTGCCACTGATTGTTTGTTCTCACTGTGAAAAAACCTATTTCTTATTGAAAGAATAAGAGAGGTGAAACCTCTCCTGGTGCAACTCCTACCTGTTGCTCCTTGTCCTCTCCATGTGGCTCCTTGTGAAGAGAGTCTCTGTCCTCTGGAGCTGCCCTTCAAGTACTGGAATACTGTGATGAGGTCCCCATGAGCCTTCTCCAGGGAGAAGAGACCCAGCTCCATCAGCCGTTCCTCACAGGGCAGGTTCTCCAGCCCTGTGATCGTCTTTTGGTCCTCCTTTGGGCCCTCTCCAGTCTGCCCATGTCTTTGATTTGTGGTGGCCAGAGGTGGACACGGTATTGCAGGTGCAGCTGACAAGCACTGAGTAGAGTGGGATGGTCCCATCCCTATCTCTGCTGGTAATGCCTCTGCAGATGCTGCTCAGGGTTCCACTTGCCTTCATTGCTGCAGCGGGCGCTGCTGGATCATGCTCAGCTTGCTGCCCACCGGGACCCCGGGTCCCTTTCGGCAAGGCTGCTCCCCAGCCATGCAGATCCAAACCTTAACCGGGCCCTGGTTATTCTGTCCCAGCTGCAGGACCTCATCCTTGTCCTGCTCTTGTTATCCCACTCTTCCAGCTTCTCCAGGTCTCTGTAAGGTGGCTGTCCCTTATGTGTCCCCCTCAGCACCCATCAGCAAACATGGTGAGGCTGCTCTCAGTCCCACCATCCAGATCTTTCTGAAGATGTTGAACAGTGTGGGGCCCAGCATCAGTCCCTGGGGGACACCACAAGTGACAGGCTGTCAGCCCTAGTAAAATTCACTGATCACCATGCTCTGCGTGCTGCCTGTGACCAGCACAGGCTACCCACCCGTGCAGACCACCCATCCAGTCTGTATCTTTCCAGTCTGTCCAGGAGGAGACTGTGGGGAGCAGTGTCAAACACTGCTGAAATCAGGTTAACAGCATCCACTGCTCTCCTGCATCGCCGGAGATGGACTTTGTTTAGAAGATGACCAGATGAGCCTGGCCTTGGTCAATCCATGCTGGCTTTTCCCAGTCACCTGCTTCGTTTGGTCCCTATTTCTAGGAGGACTAGTTCCATTACTTTCCCAGGGATTAGGAGGAGGTGAGTGGGGGGTGTGATGGCCGTGGATGCCCTGGGGTGTCCCAGGAGGGGAGGAGGAACAGCATCACTCCAGAGCTGGAAGGAGGGATCCGTGCTGCGCGCTCCTGGCAGCACATCCAGCCCAGAGAAAGGACAAGGCAGCGGGGAGCGTGTGTGCCCCTGCAGTGCTGGCCATGAGCCCCGAGCCACCCGCAGTCTGCAGCAGGACCCATGGCAGCGGGGCTGTCTCCTGGTGGAGCGAGGGGCCACAGGGGCTGGGGTCTGCGCTGAGGCGGGGGTTCTTGTGTCACTGCCCGGTCCATGAGGATTAGAGGTGGCATCCCTGGCCAGGCCACTTCGTCAGGCTGAAATATCAGTGGAAATACCCTTTTCTGCCTCCTTTTATTTGCAGGCAACCTGAAGCATGTTTAGCACAGAAGGAAGGCTCAGGTTTCCGCAGGAGCGTTTCCCATGGGGAAAGATGGTGTGTTTATCTAAGCAGCTGGTGAGATTGTGGCGGCGGGGGAAATTTGGAAGAAATTACTGTTGTTTGGTTCGTTTTGTTCTCTTTAATGAAGAAAAGCTGCTGTGCACCACAAGCGCCGTGACTCTTCCCGGGCAGGAGTGCGGGCTCTCCGGCCACAGCCTTCCAGTGCTGGCAGAGCCTCCCTCCCTTCTTGGTCCTTTCTGAACACCGCAGAGTTCATTCTCACAACTTGCTTGAAATGTTTTTTAAGAGAGGGCAGCTCAGAGCTGTGAACCACCCCGGCTGGAACCCAGCGCCGTGTTGGCTTCCCAGCAGAAGTATGGCCTCCAACCTGTCCACCTGGGGAGCGGTGCCGATGGCCAGCTGGGGCCCAGGGCTGTGCCTCTTGCCCACAGAAAGGCATGGCCGCTGTGTTTTTAACTGGGATTTTTTTAAAATAAAATATTTGGGATACTCCTCCAGCCCTTCCCTTTCTTCCTGCACCCACTCTGCCATGCCAGTGTGCTTTTCTACAGCATTTATAGGTCCAGCCAGCACCGGGAACCAAAGGCCTGCGGTTGCGTTTGTGGCTGTCCCTTCCAGCCCCATGTGTCAGGCAGCACAGACCCTGCCTCCCAGGGCAGTGGGTGGGCTCCTGAGACCCTGTGCACAGGAACCAAGCCCCCTGGATGCTCTCCAGCGTTGACGGGGACACAGGGCAGGGTGGCAGCTCCTGTCCTGAGACCTCTGATGAACATCCGGATGGATGGCCAGGTCCCAAGAGTCGTGAATGGAGTTAAATCCAGCTGGCGGCTGGTCACAGGCGGTGTTCCTCAGGGCTCAGTTTTGAGGCCAGTCCTGTTTAACATCTCTATTAGTGATCTGGACGAGGGGATCGAGTGCACCCTCAGTCAGTTTGCAGATGACACCAAGTTGGGCGGGAGTGTTGCTTGAGGACAGACAGGCTCTGCAGAGGGCCCTGGCCAGACTACCTTGATGGGCTGAGGCCAATTGCATGAAGTTCACCAAGGTCAAGGGCCGGGTCCTGCCCTTGGGTCGCAACCACCACATGGACACTGCAGGTGTGGGGAGGAGCAGCTGAGAGCTGCTGGGTGGAAAAGTACCTGGGGGTGCTGGTCAACAGCGGCTGAACATGATCTGTATCAGGAATAGTGTGGGCAGCAGGAGCAGGGCAGGGATCATGCCCTGTGCTGGGCACTGCTGAGGCCGCCCCTTGAATCCTGTGCTGAGTTTTGCGCCCCTCACTCCCAGAAGGACATGGAGGGGCTGGAGTGTGGGCAGAGAAGGGCAAGGGAGCTGGGGAGGGGTCTGGAGCACCTGAATGATGGGGAGCGGCTGAGGGAGCTGGGGGGTTCAACTGGAGCAGAGGAGCTGAGGGGACACCTTTTCCCCTCTGCAGCTCCTGAAAGGAGGGGGTAGCGAGGGGGGTCGGTCTCTGCTCCCAAAAAGCGAAGGGATGAGAGGAAATGGCCTCAAGTTGTGCCAGGGAAGGGTTAGATGAGATACTAGGAAAAGATTTCTTCACTGAAAGGGTTATCAAGCATCGCCCAGGGAAGAGGTGAAGTCACCATCCCTAGAGGGATTTAAAAGATGTTTGAGGCGTTTGAGGACATGGTCTAGTGGTGGACTTGGCAGTGCCGGGTTAATGGTTGGATTCTATGATCTTAAAGGTCTTCTCCAGCCTAAACGATTCTGTGCCCCAGTGCCCCATGAGAGCTGCCACTCGGCATCTCAGCAAGGGGACAGGTACACAGGTACACAGATTCCTGCCAGTGCTTCAGCCGTGGAGCCTGACCTCTGCTACCCTCGTCCCCTCGTCCACCTGGCCCGTGGAGCTTTTATTTGTGCTGTTTATTTTTAAAGATGTCCAGTCGTTGTGGGAAAGCGTATTTCCTGTTGCTTTAATTCGATTACGCTGGAATACATAGCAAGACAAAGGAACTCCCAGCCTGGGCTGGCTTTGTTTTGATCTCTTGTTTTTCAATGCCGATCCAAACAACAGGAAATCCAGTGTGGAGGGAGTTCAGCTGGACGTGGCTCCCATGTCCCTGCAGAGCGACCCCCTCCTTCCCTGCTTCCCCTTGGGTCACCCCAGCACCTGCTGCAGTGGGCTGGGGGGAGACCAGCCCTGTGCAGTGTCTGTGGCCACTGGCACAGCACAGGCCCTCGGCGCCCCGGGGAGATGTCAGCGCTGGAGATTGTTCAGCCAGGAGATGAGTGGGGTATGAGAGAGCACAGAAGCTGGCAGCTGCCCCCTCCAGCCCACCCTGGGCCCCCCATGCTGTGTCCCCTGGGAGCTGCAGGAGCTACTTGAGGAGCAAGGAAATGATAGCAAACCCCACAAGTGTCAAACATTGTGGGAGTTAATGGGGTTCAGCACGCCCTCCGCCATCTCTGTCCATATCCCCAAACACAGAGAAACAATTGGAGATCAGCTTGTTGCAAAGCAAGAAAAGTGCCAATGGTGAGACAAAGGCTCAGGGGTTTCTCCCAGTTTCCCCTCAACAGACCCACTCGTACCCAAATCCCCCCCATCCTTGCCAGCCCTGCCACCAACTGAACCCCCTTCTCACCCCCCCAGCATGAATAGGTGTTACAAGCGTGTCCCAGTCTGGACGGGGGGAGGCATGCGGGGTCCTAGCCTGGATTGGGGGACATGGGTGTTCCCACCCAAGAGGTTTAGAGGCAAGTGGAAGAACATGGAGGTGTCCAGGCTGGATGGAAAAGTGTGGGAGATAGCAGCCTGGATGGGGTGACATGGCAAGTCCCAGTCCGAACGGGGAGGAAACCGAGAGACCCAGTCTGGAAGGGGGCACGGGGGTCCAGCCAGGGCCGGAGGGGCAGGCGGTGCCGG